TTTTTTTTTTTTGGTGGAACTGGGGAATTGAACTCAGTCCCTTGAGCTTGCCAGGCAAGTGCTTATTCTACTGAGCTATCTTCCCTGCCCCCAAAATGTATTTGGTATAGTGTTTCACTGGGATTACAGGCATGTGCCTCTGTGCCCGGGCTTGGTAGCTGGCTCAGCATGCCGGGGGACAAGGCCAGCGCTACATGTGGTGCAGGGGATCAAACCTGTACCACATGTCCCTGCACTTGCCTAAGCAGGTGCTTAGTCTGCTAAGTTATCTCACTGACCCTCCAAGGAGACTTTAAACTAGGTGGTTATTGAAAAATAATCTTTCTGAAGTGTGGCCATTTTGCAGCCATCGTGGTGTAAAAAGTTACCTTGTCAGTTGGTGGCAGAGTTGCAGGAAGTGTATTATTTTTTTGGCGTAGGGAGAGTTTATCTCTACTCTTCTTTCTGTCTGTGCTGAGAGGCTGGGTTGCATGTTGGGAAGGTGACTGGGTCCTGAGGTAGAGAAAGGATCCTTGAGAGTAGTGCAGAGGCAGGGAGCAGCCAGCCATGTGAGGACCTGAAGGCAGAATAGACGCGGGGCCTGAAGAAGAAGTCGCTTGTGGTGAGCACAGCTCACTTTAGGAGCTGTACATTCTTAGTGCCACTAGTTTCTGGAGGCTAGAAAGTAGACCATTGGGTTGAAGTTGGCTGGGAACTATGCAGGTAGACTACTGCATGTTCTGGAAAGGGCCAGGCAGGCGAGTTTTCATATGTTTGCAATTCCAGCTATACAGCTCTGCCATTGTAGAATAAAGCAGCCATAGATAAAGCGTCCTTAAATGGCTACAGCTGTGTTTCCAGAGAGCGGAATTTGCAAAAACAAATAGCAAGGTGGATCTGGCGACTGCATATGACTTTCCTGAGAATTTGTGAAACTGTTAAGTGAGGTCTAAATTGCTTATTGATGCAGATGACTGAGTAGAAATTTACTGCTAAGTCAGTTGATTATTATAATGAACAGCTTGCAAAAGGTAGGGTAAAACTCCTAAAGTTTTATTTATTTTGTTCTACTTTGAACTAAACCACTTTCCTGCACTTTGAAAACTCTTAGGTAAATGATTTTTACCTGTGACTACATAATGCGTTAACCTGGGGATCCTTGAAAGACTACAGATGGTTAGTTCTTGCCCCGAGAGATTTGGTGGGTTTGGAGAATGGCCTAGGCATCAGGATATTTTTGTCTTGTTTTGGTTTGCGGGGAATGGTACTGATTGAATGCAGGGAGGGCTGAGCTATATCCCACCCCTTTTTATTATTTTATTTTGAGACAAGGTCTTGCTAAGTTTCCTTATGCTGACCTCTAACCCACAGTCCACCTGCCTCAGTCTCTAGATTAGCTGCTGTTATAGGTGTGTATCACCATGCCTGGTGGCGTCAAGATTTGTAAGAGCTCTGTGGCACATTTTAATGTGTGCTAAGGCTAGAAATCACTTGACTTTTAATTCATTGTTAGGAAACCTGAAATTGGAGTAGGCTTAGAGAAGAATTTTGGGTAGCTTTCTTTTTTCTTTTTCATTATTATTATTATTTTGTGGTATCAGGGATTGAACTCATGACCTTGCACTTACCAGGCAAATGCTTATGCTGCTGAGCTATCTCCCCAGGCCTTAGAGAAGAATTTTGGGGTACAACAGTTAAGGATACGGTTTTATTTTGTACAACAGTGCAGTCATTTATTGATCCTACTCTATTGAATATGGCTTATTATTTATTTAGTATTTCTGCGTAAGCATTATGACTCACTAGATGTGATGATTGAACTGAAGGAGAACTAACAAGAATCTCTTTAACTTTAAAGGACTCAGAAGGTGATACCCCTCTACATGATGCCATCAGCAAGAAACGCGATGACATCCTTGCTGTCCTCCTGGAAGCAGGAGCTGATGTCACCATCACAAACAACAATGGATTCAATGCTCTGCACCATGCTGCACTTCGGGGAAATCCCAGGTAAGATGCCACGTGCCGCTGTCTGAAGTATCAGAGAGAAATACTGTCTGGAAAGCTGCTGCTTTTCCAGCTACTGATAAGGAAATGATTTCAACATCTTAAGTAATTTTAAAAGTCCGTGGAGCTAATGCTATCATTTTAGATTAGTTTTATAAGTATTATGAAATGATTGTTTATATATTAAATGTTGATATTGTAGGAATACTGGTTTATAGCTAAAGATTTAGTTAAAATACATTCCATTTTAAGATTTTTGTTTAAGATCATTCTCAGAGGGCCAGCTAGATAGCTCAGTGGATTAAAGCACCTGCTTAGGCAGAGTACAGCAGCTGGGGTTCGATCCCTGGCATGCTGTGCTGGCCCTGCCACTGGGGCACACTGAGATGGTGATTGAGACTGGAGGTGGTGTTGCTGGCCTGTAATCCCAGTGCTTGGGAGGCTGAAAACAGGAGGATCACTGCGAGACCAGTCTGTCTAGTGAGACCCTGTAGTCCCTGTACTAAATACCAAAAAAAAAAAAAGATCATTCTTAGGTTATCTTCTAATTCATGTTACCCATATGCATGGTAATTAAAAAACTCTGGTAAACATAAAAGTTACCTAATTCCTTATTAATAATATAATCAGTTATATAAACTTTGAGTGTAGATGGGCTCAGTTACTGTCATAGTACAGTGCTGTACTGGGAAAGGGCTTGCTGTTTGGAGCTTCAGAGACTGCCTTATAGTGTCAGTGTTCAGAGAGTACCTGTGGAGTCCCTGGGAGGGGAAGTGCTGATGTTTGTGGAGGTTTGAGATTTTTATGAACTCATTTTTTTGTATTAATTTTATTGAGAAAAATAGCATTGAGACAGTTTCAAAACAGTCTAGTAGGACAGTTACAATAATTAATACATTATATATTGTTATCTTTGTTATTCATAGTACAAGATGCAGATATGATATCTTGTCTAAACACTATTAGTACAAATCTTTCTTACTGAACTAAGAAAGTAGCTGTATATCTATCCTATTTTATATATACATATATATACATGGTATATCTATATGTATATAGATAGATACATTTTTTTTACTACAAAATGGTCCTTCATTTATGTTCCCTTTTTTTGTTTACTTTCATCAGAGATGGGTATTTCTTTACTATTTAAATATTGTAGGTGCATGAATTCAGCAGAGTAATCCAATATAGTTCGGTAGTCCATAATAGTAGTGGGTTATCCACAGGGCTGGCAATGTCAGAAGTTGTTGATTTGAGCCTTTTATAGCTCAGCATATTAATGTGGCTTTACTTTTTATACCTTGTTTTTGTACTTTTCTGCTGGATGGTTAAGACCAAGATAAAGCAAGACCTATATAATAAAAAATGTAACTTTTGTATCTGACAAGGTCAGTCAGATCACCTCAGGATTTATCCCAAAACCCTGTGCAATAGTTTGTAGATCTTTTGTCACTTCAGCCCCGTGGATGAGTCACGGCCATTGCTTGACCAGTTTGCTCTCTGTGAAAGCCTGAGAGAATGTTTTCTCTCCATGTGACTCTCCTTAGGCACACTCTGTATCGTCGATCACTTTCCTCTGTGGCCCCCTAATCGCCTTGATCAGAAAATTAGGAACACCACTGTGAACTCTTTTTTTTTTTTTTTTTTTTTAAGCAGTATTTTAAGATACATTTTAGGAAATTCTGTTTTAGTTGTCTTTAGTTGAATCAAGTGCATATGTCTTTTTGAAAAATTAACTTGATACACTTACTATACGTAATAATCACTTTTTTTTTTGGCAGAACCAGGGATTGAATTCAGGCCCTTGCGCTTGCCAGGAAGCGCTTATTCCACTGAGCCATCTCCCCGGCCCCATAATCACATTCTTTATAGGAGTTTATACTTGGACATAACATATCTTGATTCTTTTTTTCCCATTCCCTTCCCCTCACTTGAACTACTTTTTACAAAAGCTTTGTTTCCATTTTTCCCCTCCTCTTTACCCCCTCCTCTGTTCTCCTACCCGTTTGAATATTTTCTTCCTAATTCCCAGCATCTATCATCTATTTTGGTCTTCACTCACCATTTCAGTTTTAAACAATGCAATATTTGAAATATTTGAACATGCATGTCTTGTTAAGTGTGTAAATCTTGACTGAGGAAAATGTGCACACTGATGTTTATTTTGAATTTTATGTATCCTGGATTTTTAAGTTTTGGTTTCTTTTTGTTTTTATTTCCTGTTGTTATAGCTTCAGGACTATGGGACTGCCACTAGAGGGGGATCACAGAAAACAAAAGACAGTGTTAGTGCTTCTTGGTGCCCATGACAGACAGCAGAAATACATTATAATGTAGGATGTGATGGATTTTGTATTTTGTCTTTTCAAATTACAAATATTTGAATACTTAATACTTTTGTACTCTGAAGGAGACATGAGTATTGTGTTCTCAGCCTTTCAAATAGAAGATAATTATTTTAGCAACAGTACTTGGTACATGCCGAGCCACTGCTGTACTTTTTGTGCATTATCTCACTTAGTCCTTCAAAATCCACCCCCCCCTGGGGGGGGGGAGGCATTGGGGTCCAGGCCGGGCCTTGTGCACACTAAGCAAGGCCCTGTCCCTGAGCCGCATCTCCAGCCCTTTCAGCAGCTTTTGGGATAAGGGTTAAGATCTTCATTTTATAGATAAAGAATGTGAGGCTTATCAAGATGAATTTACTTGGTCACAATTGTGTAGCTGATTAGAGGAACAGGTGGAACTTGAGCAAGGTCTGTGTGACTTGAGAATCAAAACTCTTACACCCTTTGTAGTACTGTTTTTATGCTTTGTGGCCTCTAAGTGAAGTGAGCACCTGGAGAGTAACTAATTTAGCTGAAAAGCATGAATCAGTGCATCTTTCCTCTTGGTGTGTCATTGATTATGGTTATCTTTGCTCTGACTAATTTCAACTGCAATTCCTTTTAAAATTCAACTCATTCTGCTAGTCTTTCAAATCTGTCTCACTCTTTCTATTGTTGCTGACATAAGTTCTCACCATTTTTACTTTGACTATTACAATGCCTTTTTAATTAGTTTTCCTGATTTAAGTATCATGTAGTTAACACTTTAAAATTTCCCCATCTCAAAAAGACAGCAAATAAAATAAAATATTTTCCCCTCTGTTCCTAAACTTTCAGTTGTTTCTCATGTCTATAGTAAAAGTAGCGCAGCACCTACCTGGCAAGCATGAGGTCCTGAGTATAATTCCCTATATCCCCCAAAAAACAAATTTATACATCTTGACTTGTCATTTGAAACAATTTTTGATAAATCCTGAGCTTGTTGACTTAGTATACTTCCTTTGCCCATCTTGCCCTTCAGTAACATTATTACATTATTGTCTTTCCCTAAAATACTCTGATTGCTCTCTTCCCTGTTCTTTCATTGTTTTCCATGTGCATATCTTTTTCTGTTGAAATTGTGGGTGTTCATTTTTATCTGTATATCCCCCTCGGTGATTGTTTCCAGTAGAGGAAACAATAATTTGACAATAAGGATAATGAAACTTCATAGATAGTGTATGACTAATTAGGAATTAGGTCTTTAGGGAAACTGTTAGGAGTCCAGATAAGAAATTTTATACTGCAGTTAAACATGGCTTAACTGTTGAGCTTCATTATTGTCCATTTTAATTGTAGTTGATTATACTGTATTTTGAATAGTAAATCTTAGCAGTTTTTGAGTTTTTTATTTCAATGTGTATTTTTTCTATAGTAAATTATTTGCAACAGTATAATTTATTTGCTTATAAGTTCTTTCATTTATTGTGGTTAAGAATGTAAAAAAAAATATCTGAAGTCTGTGTGAGTATATGTGAGATTTAGGTACCATTCTATTTCCTGCTTAATTTTAGTTAACAATGACAGTTTTTCAACAGTGGGTCAATTAACACAATAGAGTTGATAATTATTGATGTACTTTTCTAAAAGAAAAAGCTCTATCTTGGTCTTTTCAGTATATTTAAGCTGTCTTGTGATTTTGAACAACATATTTGAAATTTAGATGTCAAAGGTTTGAATCAGTATAAATCCTAGATTACAAAGCTTATTTTTGTTTTTTCCTTATCATTTGACAGTAACTGAAATAAAGATTTTGAGAGAAAACATAATGAAACTTTTTTTTTCTTTTAGACTAAGTTTTGCTATGAATCATTGGACTTGGGTTATAAAGTTTGTAGTATTTTGGAATAGGTACATGTTCTATTTTATTTTTGTTGTTATAGCATATGCCACCATGCCAAGAATAGGTACATATTTAATGTAGTGGCTTGTTTTTTAAAAAAAATTTAAACTAAGGATATGGTTTATGAATTCTGATACTTGATGTTTATTTTGCTTTACAATTTTGTCAGTGCTAGTGAGGGAACCCAGGGGCTAGGCAAGCACTGTATTGATGAGCTACATGCTTAGCCTGATATTTGATATTTTTGGACATATTTTACCCTAGTATTCAGCTATATTATCTTCTCTTTTTCTATATAGGTAAGAATTGGAATTTAAATCAAGAGCAGAAATGATTTCTGCTGATAAAAGTAAAAACTAAATGTCTTTGGATTCCTGAGTCAGCACTGAGAAGGCTGTGCACTGCACTTGGAGTTGTCTAGTTTTCAGAGCTCCCTGCAGGCTGAGTGTCCATCAGTCAGCAGGATTCTCTACAGAGCTGGTGTGACAAGTGATAGGTCTTTTGGGGAGACTGATAACAATATTATAAGGTTACTGTATCAGTATTTATAACTTTTTCTTTACTATAAATTGAATGTTAAAAGTAACAAAATATGAGTGAACTGTATGCTGTGATGCTGTTTTCAAATTAGTAATTAGATGACTTCTTCTATCCTCCCTCATTTCCTCATTCCCATAAAGACATGTAGTAAATCATACAGAATCTTTGAGCAGCTCACATTTTCAAAAATCTCTAGAACATTACAATATCTAGATTTAACTCTATCACTTCCAAAATGTGATTTGGTAATGAAACTATGTTGAATGTAGGAGATTTGGTAATCTGGAGCCTGTCTTGGTGGTCATTTTTTCCCCTTTTATAATTTTGAACATGCTGGGTACTCAACACAAATTAGTTCAGAATCTGTTAGATGATACAGTATATCTTTTATCTCTGCTCATGCATCTACTCTCAAACGCCAGATATCTTTTAACATTAACTATTTTTCTTGTATTTTTTTTCCTACTGAGAGATGTGTATTTGCATGCATGCATATGTGAGTTTTGAAAAGGACAAAGGAGGCCTTACAACTGAGGAAACAGGGAGCATTGAAATATCCTTATGAGGAAAAAGTTGTAACACTTAACATTCTCTTTAAACATTAAAAACCTTCAGTTCAGAGTCAGTGGAACTGTAGAAGGGAATGCTTATTGCTTAAATCTCGCAAGGTACTTTGTAGCATTTCAGCTTTTCCACTAACATTCAGGGATGTAGTGGTAAAATTAAAGGCTAATTCCATGGAAGACAGTGACTTGACATTTTAAATATTACTTTATGTGATATATGTGCATTCATGTGGTCTGTGCTGAGACATTCCCCTCATTTCCATATGAGTTTTAGGTGAACTTCCCATACTGTTTCTTCCTCCTAAGGAAATACAGTTTTATTATGAAGCGTAGTCTATTTTCCATTATTGTTGTCTGAGGAATAATAAATTTAACACCAGGAGACCATAAATGAGTCAAATTAATTTATTTGAAATTTGGAAGTCATTCATACATTTTTTCATAAAGCTTTTTATAATTTTTTTAACCACTATAGCTCTTCAAGTAGAACAGTAACAAGTTACTTGGTTTTAGCCACAGTCTAAATAACTTACATAGGTTGAAATTAGTTGACATGTAATTGATATTCATAAATGAAAGTGCTGGCTCTCCTGTAGTAATCAATGCATAGCTACAGCTGGTTGAAGGGGACCAAATCCATTGAAGAGGCGATTTGGTTCCATTTTACCAGCTTTAGCAAAGCATTGTAGTGTTGCTGGTTATGGATCCAGAACAGTTAAGTAAGTGCTTTTTATGCATAAAAATACAATTATAGAGCATTTACAAGTGTTAGAAATTCTCATTATTATTACTTCAGTTACTGAATATAAGATTTGTCTTGATGACACTTATCCTACCTTTAACAACTGAGAAGCCTTTTTCTTTTTAACACGTTGTCAGTACATGTGTTTGTTTTCAACATTTTTTATTTTTAAATGTAAACAATAACTTGCATTTATAAGAAGTAGACCTTAATACATTTCAGAGTAATGTTACTTCTTGGTAGTAAACATTCTGTTTAGTTTTAGGTAGTAAACTGTTCAGCTAATAGTTGAGAAAAGTGATATTAGACATTTCTACTGTCACTTTCTTTTTTTTTTTTTTTTTAGTATTTCAGTTGAGGGCTCATAGCAAGTGGCTGACAGTGGGTAGAGGAATATGAATGGCCTTAATACCTCTGCCCTTTAGGTTATAAATAGATCACCCGTGTATTCAGTATACTGCTTGGGCTTCTGTGGGGAGGAGCTACTATGAATGCCAGCTTATTTTTTTTGTTGTTGCTCATGTGGAGTCATTAACAATGAGTCAGTAACTTAACTGCTTTATAGGTCTTTTTCCTTGACTAAATTCTCTGTCATTTTGGTACAGATTGTCTGGTTACTTCTTATTAGCTTAATTGTGCATAGACTTGTGGTTCACTATAATGCATGAATTTTTAGCATTAAAATTTACTACATAATATTTAAAATATTAGTGTAAGTTTTTGTAATTAGTGTGATTTTGCTGTTTTCAGTATCAAGAAAGGAGTGTTTTCTGAGAAAATGCAAGTCGGGTAAATTACAGTTTGTCTATAAAGATGAAGTGAAATATACAGTGAATTGTTCTGAACTGAGAGAGGGTCAACAATAATTTGAGCCGTGTGCAGACAGTACTTGCATTGTGTATTTCTGTGTCTGTTGCTTGTTAAGTGTCTGGCTGCTGGTAAAATTAATGTATCAATACCTCTTTCCATCATTTATTCTAGTAGAAGTGAAACAGGTGTTACATTGCATGAACTTAAGTGCTGAAGATAGCAATAACACCGGTTTCTATTTTTACTGGTTATATGGAAGCCATTTAGCAGATCCAGTTGCTCAAGTGTGCTTTTGGACGGCAGTTCAGATTCGTATACTGGCCATATCGGGGCAAGGAGAGGCCATGGGAAAAAATAGTACAGCATTTGATAATGTCAGCATCTGTTATCCCTGTCAGGGAGACAGTTGAAATGTTTGAGTTACACCAATGTCAGCAGATGTCCAGAGTGTAACATGTACTCAGTTAAAAATGAGCAGCTGATCTAAGTGATAATATGACATTTTAGAGTGATTGAAAATACTCTTTGATATGTTAAAGTAGTAAGAATCACAACTTACAATTTGACTTGTTAAATACGTAACATCATTTTCTAAGGTTTATATACTCTTTGGAATATAGCAAAGAAATTCTTAGTTGCTGGAATGCATAAAAAGAATTATTAAAACATATTTTTATTAGTAAAATAATTAATGTGTATGTTTGTCATAAGGTGTGAAGAGAGTTATGCTCTTTGAGTAGTTTTATAGAACACCCTCTGTATGGAGGCATATAGTTTTAGTTTTTCGTATTTAGGACATGTACAGGTAAAGGTAACAAATAGAACCTGAACTATTTCTTTTTGGTAGATGATCAGAGGGTTGTGTTTAACTGAGTTAAGATTTGCACTAATTTCTTTGAAGTGTAGAATTTAAAAATCATACTTTTTATAATTTCCAGTGAATGTGTAATAATGTAGTACTTTATATAATCTGATAAAATGAAATCATTTATTAATGAATTCTTATTAAACGAAACTAGCAATAGTTAAAACTTGTGATTGCCTTTCAGTTTTTAATACAAAAATTTAAAATATTACTGTGCTTTTTTGTAAAGTGTTCTCATTGAAACAACTTTTAGTGAGAAATAAAAATATACAAATACTAGTTTTTTTTGTTCTTTGAGATATTATAGTTGCTTAAAAAATAAATATTGCTCATTGATTATTGCTAAGAACAATTTCTTTTGCATACTGGGGATTGAACCTAAGCCCTTGGCACTGAGTTTTTTTTCTAGCCAAGTTTTTATTTTTTGACACAGAATCTCACTAAGTCTAGGCTTAAGTTTACAATCCTCCTGCCTTTCTGCCTCAGAGTGCTGAGATTACAGGTACGAGCCACTTGGCCTGGCTTAGGATTTTTATACTTGTACATAATAGATTATATAAAATATAAAAAAAGTTTTGCTATTCCTAACAGTACAGTGGATGTTATACCTGTAAAACTGAATTATAGTAATCCCAGCACTTGGGAGGCTGAGGCAGGAGGATTGCCACGAGTTCAAGGTCTGTCTGGGCTACATAGTGATTGCAAGACCAGCTTGAACTACACTGCAAGACACTCTCAAAAAAAAATTATAATTGCATAGTACAGTACTAATAAAAATGGTTATTCTATGTGTGTAAGTTGGTTTTTGACTATCATGTTTTCATTTTATGTACTCCCTTGGGAGGAAGCAAGTCTTGAAAGTCTTCTAATATTGATAGATTATAAACTTACTAAATGTGAAGAATAGCAATTAAGATGTGAAGTCAGCCATGTGTGTGCAAGTTTCTTGCTTCAGTCTCTTATTAGTGTTGGGGTTGCAAGTATATGCCACTATACCTGGTTGCTTAAAGCCAGCTTGTATCTTATTTTTCTTACCAGGTCAGTTGATATTTTTGAGTTATGATCAGATTTAAAGAAAATTGTATCTTATTTTTTTGTGCTAGTACTTTTTTCCTCTTATTGATAAATTTTAATCATGTGAATACTCAAAAAGGTAAAAGGCATTGTTTTAAAATTAAATGCATTGAAAAGACTTTCATGCTAATTTGAAATCTACTTCAGTAGGACTTCTTTATTAAGTATAAATAAGTCATAAGGATGCTGAGTTTCCATTTATAAGTAGTAAGGGTGCGTGCGTGTGTGTATAATGTAGTGTTGCCAGAGGTCACCCTCAGGATAGTTAGGCTTATTACCTTATGAGGGTCATTTTCATAGACTTCTTTTAGCTGCAGTTTAGTTGCTTGTGGTAGCTTATTACCTACCAAAAATACATACTTCTTTACATTCCATAGCATCGTATGTTCATATGGGTACATAAAGAAGTATGTGCTCTGAGTAGGTATTACAAAGTGGCTAGCTATAAACACTTGTAAGAGAAATTAATATATTTGTTAAGATTTAGCTCACTGCTGCAGAGTAGTGGTGAATTGTTCAAAGAGACTTTTACCAAAGACTGCATTTCACCAAAGACTACATTTCACAGCTAGTTTACCTGATCAGGCTGTAAGACCACTTAGGGTTCCTTGCTCTCCACAGATGTGAACATTTGTAAACATTTGCCTGGTTTTTTGTTGCGCTTTGTCCGAGTTCGGTTCTTTTTTGTAGGAGTCTCCTAGAATCAGTGGAGCTTACAGTGTGTTTCAAGAAGTTGCTAACAGCAGCCAAGTCAGTCTTCAGAGAGAGAGAAGCTTCTTTTCTTTTATTGTCACTAGATCCTGCAAGTAGATAGTAGTTTAGTTCAAACATTTTTTGCAAATCTAATACCTTATTCAAAACTTGAATCAATTAGTTCTTGTAGACTTGACTATTGTTGAAACAATGAAGAGAAAACCCGGGTCATTTCAGCATGTGAGTGGAAGAAATTTTTTTTTAAACAGTGACATTTTCCTTAGTTTCTTTTTTTAGGGCACAGATAGGAACTCACAATCATTTGACTTTGTTACTTTGTCTTTATTAGTTCCTTACTTAGATTTTTTTAAATTTCTGTGCCTCTGTCTGAATATAAATTCAAAAAGATGTTTACATATTGAATGTTAGTGAGCTTAGTTATTTTTGATTTTCAAGAATCTTTCAGTATAAGGCAAAAATTCTCAGACTACTTTTCCAAAGTCTTATCTGAAAGGTTGTAGCCTATGTGCACCTAGGTTTAACACAATCATGCATCATGGGAAAAAATTATAGTTGGTGAGTAGCTTTTTAAATTACTATGATACTAAAGGGTTAATTTAAAAAGAAAACCTCAAGAATTGTTCAGATTTGGCACAGAAGCAGGAGAAGGAAGAAAGCAAGCAGCGGTAGTGGAATCTCAGTGAGTGCAGCTCACTGGAGCAAATCAGAGCGCAGTGGGGAGCCCAGCACTGTGGTAGTCAGCGACACGGCTTAGGGTCCCACCATGCACCTTCTGAGTTATCCTTGTAGTTAATTAATAGTAAGTATTAAGAAGTGTTTTGTAATTTGTCAAGTTGTTTGGTTGACTAAATCTTGAAATATTTTTAGAAGATAGCATTCTTACTGGGAGTGAACGATGCAGATTTACTGGTGATGCAAAACCATTTAATCTGAAACATGGCTAAGTGTTTATGATGTAATTGACAGTACAAGATGTATACATTTTTTAGATTAAGAGTTACCTGTTATGAAAATATTAGAACAACATTCATTTTTTATACTACCCAAACTGTCAGTTTGTACTGTGAAATTAGGCTCTGCCCAGTTACACTAACAGTCAGAACACATACCAAGTCAAGTGGACACTAGATAAGCATGCAGAAAGTCCTAGGTACCCTGGAAAGCACAGGTTGTGCGGAATGTTACCTGTCAGCCTGGTGTTGCACAGCACCAGCAGTAGGACAGAGGCAGTGACCTGGAGAGTCGCACGCAGCAGCCATCTCCTCTCAGCCCTGCGCTCACGCTCCTCGCTGATTCAGCACTTCTTTTATGAGCCGAGTGCGGTAAGGAAGGGCTGTCAGTGAACACAGAACCCCACCTTTTAAGATACATTTAAAAACAAACAAACAAACAAAAACAAATAACCTACTTTTCTCCCCCCTCTCCTAAAGGAAAAAATCGCCTAATAAATTTGAATTAACACTGGGCATTTGATTTGGAATGTCATATAGCAGTTTTTGCAGATATGCAGAGAAAGTTAAGTCACCAAGGAAGGTTGTTACAAAGACTGTTTGGCTTGTTCATCAGATGAATTGCTTCAGAAGAGGGGAGGAAGTTGCAGAGGAAATTAATTTTATAATCTTAAAAAAGACAAAAACAAAACACAAACCAACCCAAAGCACACCTTACCCTACACATTCACCCTGTTTTCCTTTGCCCACCAGAATATATTGAGTTCTTCTGACTCCTCAGGAAATACTCTGCATCTTTCTTGCTTTAAGATTTTTGGTTTTGAGTTTCCAGGAGTAAATGGTAGATCTGTAGTAAGGCTACCTTGTAGTATCCAGAGGTGAGTCTGGAAGCGAGGATGGTACTTCCACATGGTCACTACAAAGGCCAACTTATATTCTTCTCTCAGTGACCACAGGCCACACTGTTACAGCTTTATAGGCAGCTAAGCATTTGAAACATGCACTCCCAGGCAAACAGGCTCTCTTGTGCCTCTCTCTTCCCTGACCATATTTAGTCAACCATAGCAAAAAATAGTCTCTCAGCTGTCGATTGTCGATCCAAAAGCAGAGGAAGCCTCTATCTTGCTTTCTGCCTATTGATTGTTCATCCTGTGGTCCAAACACTGCTTTGCCATTTGTCCTGTGGCCCCCCCCCCCCCCCCGCGCCTTTTTTTAAGTACTGCCAAATAAAGCGGTCTCTCATATTTCCACTTACATTTCCCAAATTTTCACTGAGCTGGTGCTGAGACCAGGAAAGCCTCACACAGCCATCACTGTACTTAGAAGCAGTGCGGAGGAAAAAGGGAAGAGGAAAGAAATTAACCCGGCTACTGGCAGGACAGTCTTTAGACAGATATGGAGCAACAAAGCTGCTCTGCTGCCAAAACGTATTTTATAACCTGATTTTTTTTTTGTTGTTGGCAGAGATATTATGGATGGCTATGTGTTTTGTGGCTTAAGTCCTGAAGGGATTTTATTGGGTTATATTTAGGGCTGGTTATTGCTATCTATGCTTTTAAAATTTATTGAATAATATTTTAATGGGAAATTTATAGAAATGATAAGTAGAACCTTCTATGTTGGTGGTAGAGAAAAACCACTGACTAAGAAGAGTGATATATAAATGAAATACTGGAAATGATTCTTAAAACTTTAAATTCAGTGTCAATTTTAGTTTTTTTTATAGTGCTTAGTGAAAAACATGATCCAGAGTGTATTTGAATAATCACATTTTATATATTGAAACAAATTACCATGAGTACTAAAATTCATTTTGTTATGAACTTAGTTCTAATATGAATTTAAATTCTTCATTTCAAATGTGATGTTTCTTTTTCCTCCTTTCTGCATTACAGTGGCCTAATTTTCTGAAATCTTATTTAACTAAGATCATTGCATATTTTGCCTCAGATTACACACTATATCACCACCTTGCCTCAGCATGTTCAGAAAATAGTTACTAATCTGTCTGTAACTGTGCTACATAGTATACACCATATCTCAAAAATACTTCTAAATTTTAATAGCATACTCTTAATAAATTTTAAATAGAAACTTATTTTTAACTGAGGAAAAAACAATCTTAAAACAAAAAATCAGCAAATCTTTATAAATATAATTTAAAATCCCACAAACCTAAAAGTGTCCAAAAGATTAGCCATATTCTTGTTCTTAATTCCAGTATATTCTCTTAAATATTGATTAAGAATCAAGAACACTGTTATCAGTTTTCAGAGCTCATTCTCCTGCAGGGGAAGTTTGTCCTTGATGTTATTTTTGTCTTTAACGCTTAATACCCCAGCAGTTTAATTATTTTGTATGGCTGTTTTAACACAGTGACAGAAGGAGCTTCTGTAAATATTTGTCAATTTTAAAGAGGCAGCTTTCCTAGGTACTGAAATGATTTTACTCTCACTATGAGATGACAAACCTCAGATTGTAAAACAGGTTAATTTTCTGGTTCTTAAATTACCATACTTTTGCTGTTTTGGAGCAATGAAAATATTTTTTTAAGCATGTACTTATATAATGTACTATGTACTGGGCACTCTTCTAAGCACTTTTAATAAATATTAACACATTTAATTTTCATTAAAACTTGGATATAATTTTTGATTCTCATGTTTTACTGATGAGGAAACAGGCACAGCAGTTAAGTAATCTGCTTAAATTACAAACCACTCATTTTGGCTGTAGCCAGATATTTTGGGCGTGGGCTGGGAGCTCTTTACCTCTGTGTTTTGCTGAGGCTCTGGTGTGTAACAGAGAAATGAGTTAGAGAATTACTACTCTCAGGGATTCGGTGGTCCAGCAAGAATACACACTATATCACCACCTTGCCTCAGCATGTTCAGAAAGATGACTATTTCTTTGCTTGTGTCTCTGTTCTTTCCATTCAATAGAATTCTTGACTTCCATATGCCAGTGTACCTTTCTAAATAAGAAGTATTCAAGTTGTGCAGATAACCTGTTTTTAGCATGTTCAAAAGAACTTCTCGCAATTGATCAACTTTCTTAATAAGTTTTTTTTTTTTTTTTCAGTTTGGACAACCTGTTTTACCTATTGTTATTTGAGAGTGTTGGTTAACTTGGACAAACATTTACAGAACATACATGTGCCACAGGGCTGCCACAGGGCTATTTCTAGTGTCTTGGTTTACATTAATTTTAATAGTAAGTCTACCACAATTAATTGCTATGGTTTGTTGGAAAAAATGTCGCCTCTTTTTGAACAAAGAAACATTAGAGACAGCCTGGCAATCCCTTAAAATTGATCCAGTGCCATTTGTATACTGCATACCAGTGTAGACAGCTGCTTGTCCCCTGTACTTCTTAGAACTCAGTTGTTCATCGTTCAGCAAGCATTTGAAAACTACCATGTGCCAAGGATTATCCTAGGCACTGCTCTTAGTTGTTCCGGAACTTAATACTTCTCTGGCATGATTCACAAATGCCTGCTTAACTGGTAGTAAGATCTTATCTTTAAAATATCCATGCCCTTACCCTCTTAGAAAACAACCAGTTGAAAAACTAAGAACCGTGTTTTGGGCATTAAGCAAAGTGTCACTAATTCTCATACTCTTTGTAGGTAAGAGGGTATGGCATAGTGAGATTGGTGACTTACTGAGAGTTAGTCACACCTCTGTCCCAGGCATTCTGTGGACCTCACTGTGCACAACACAATAGCAGTCTCTCCTGTTAATTGGCAGCCTGGAGCTGCCCTGCTCAGTTCACTGTGTGTTCCTGAGAGTGCCTGTTCTATAGAGAAAGGAGGCAGCTGCTCTGAGCTGCTGTTGCTACAGGAGGCTACTGTGACCAGTGTGGTTTTGCTTCACGTTCCTTGGTTCACTTTGCACGTTGAGCCCAAAGATAGGCTCCTTCATTGAGCCTGTATTATTTATGTATGTATGATTTTTTTTTCTCAGAAGGGGCCAGCTATTTCTAATTAAGATGAAAGGGTTATGGTCTCTGAACAGAGACAGAAATGATCTGTCCTCCCCAAATCTCCACTGTAGAATTCTGAATACTTTATCTTGGTGCTGTACTCTTAGGAAGCGGAGCAGAGCTGCCCACTCCTTAAGTGTGGCCTAAGGAAAGTGGCTTCCTTGCTAGAGTTGCGGTAGTGAAATGGAAAAGAAAGAATAACTATGTGACAGAGACACCTGATAGTCCACTTCAGCCTGTGAGGCAAGGGCAACCTAAGCATGATTGGGCAGGTTACTGGTACTGTATTTCCTGGCACATAAGACCCAGACTTAGATTAATTTTCCTCTAAAAGACACTATGGAGCTTATATATGTGTATGGGATGTGTCTTTAGTTTTTCATGTACAATCTACATTTATTCATATACAAAGCGTATTCAAATACAGTCATGTCATCATCCTCTGGAACATTATCATGACTTTCCAAACCCCAAATTCCAGCCTGAATTTCTTTTTTTCTTCTTTCTTTTTTTTTTTTTTTTTTGGTTGGGTAGCAGTGTGTATTCCTAGCACCCCCAGCCTGAATTTCTTGTGACTCCGTTCCTTCTAGAACCATTGGCCCTGGTTTCTGATGCAATAGAGCTTTCCTTAAATGAGCACTTGTTCATGTAGCCTGCTCATGGCAACCCAATTGTCAGTGATTTTATCCCAGTAGTCACCTAAGGCACAACCTTTTGCAGCTCCTTTAAATCAAGTGTTCATTGAAGGCTTACAGGAGTGGCAATAGAAACGATGAAAGTTAAGGGTGTTGGTACACATGATAGTGAAAAATTGCAGGCACCAAAATTCAGAAAACTTATTTCACAAGTACATTAAGTATGCCCATTACAGCATATGACATACTGAATTATGAAGATTCATGTTAGACATAGCCGTATCTGTTTATCAAGTGTGCACATCACTTACACATTGTGTCTGCACTCTGATTGCTTGTTCAGCAGTGAGTCTCAAGTTTGTGTTTACATAGGCATTCATCTCTCCTCCAGAGGCAACTACTTAGGTATTTATAAATATTTAGTTATAATTT